GGAGGATATAAGTTCAGATGATGAATACGACTTTTATTCAAGGAAAACGTGTCACCCAGATAACACAAAATACACAACTGACTGCTGGGGCAGACTTGTTCATATATGAACGAGAGAGAGACAAAGAGAAAAAAGAAAAAAAGAAAAATAATAATAATAATAATATGGACATATATGTATATGTCCAGGAAATATCGAACCTCACATAGGTTACGTAAAGGAGAACGAAAAGAAATGAGAAAAGTTAGCGGCAACTATGTAATATCTGTTGACGCTAACAATATCAAATTACTTTCAATTGTGAAAAAACATTCATAAATGAATATCGATGATACCAGGTAGAGATAAAGTATCAAGGTATTTTTTCTGTATTGGTTTTCTTTCTTTTTCTTTGCTATAGCTAAGACAATACTTGTAGGTTTTCGAGTAACATGACTGATGTATATATAGTGGAGCACTCAGACAATCATATCAACAGAGCATCAAGTGGTTTGAATACTATTAGTCTTTATTTGGCGTTATTGCTCTCTCTGTGTAAAGTTAATCGATAGGAAGTTGTCACTATAGAACAATAGGAGGATGCCTAAATATAAAAAGTCATATTTGGTATAGGTTCTAGAAATGTTTTGCTTCTACTTATGTAAAATTTGACTGTATGAAACTTTAACGAGGATTCAACGCTCTATCTTCTAGAGAAAAGATTCAGTTCGAAACTTTCAAAAGCGAACAGAAATATTAAGAAAGTATTGAGACTGTTATTTATTCTGAGCTATGCATTATCTACAAATCACTCTCAAGAATATTACCATCGAGATTGTCACTGATGTAAAATTCGAGTGAATTTTTTCTCTTGCATTTATATATGGTTTGATAGAATTTGACGCATTGGCCACGAGTACATAATTTTATTAGGATTCGATCATTTTGGGACTAAAACAACCTTAAAAAACTTGAATGACTGAAAATGTAGCATTGTCAATTCTAAACTCGTTTCTTTTTTGTACAGAAATCGTTACATTTCATGAAAATATTTCATTCTGATTCAACATCAAAAATTGAGTAGAAAAATATTATTCGTTTAGATTTAGAGTTAATAAGCTTAAAAAGCTCTTGGCCATATAGATGGTTTCAACATGCCCCATATCGCCTATTTGTGAATATTCTAATAAACCAATCTTTTTAAGTTTTTTAGATTCTGTTTTATTGTTGAGAAACGGAAACAGCTTTTACGAAAATATATATGATTCGATGCAGTTTGTAGCGCTAACTCCGAATATGCTATCTATTTCGCTTTTCAACTACTAGAGCATGGCAATAAAAATCACGAAATACAAACGCATTCCTTCATTCCTTTGTTTAATTTTGCTATCTCATAAAAAGCATATTCAGTTCCCTCAACAATAAAACAGAATCTAAAAAATGTAAAAAGATAGGTTAACAAGAATACTCACAAATAACAGTTTTCTACTTAATTTTCGATGCTAAATTAGAATAAAAACGTTTTCACAAAGTTTGAAAAGATTATATAATTGCAATTAGATGATTTCTATAAAAAAAAACAAGCGAGTTTATAATTAACAATGTTACATTTTCAGTCAGTCGAGTTCTTTAAGTTTTTTTCAGTCAAAAAGTGGTCGAATAATAATAAAAAAATTATGTACTCGTGACCAGTCCATCAAATTACATATATATATGAAAAAGACAAATTTTATTCAAGTTCTGCATTAACGACATCGTACATTTCGGAGAAAAATTATGTTTTTGTCTTTTGTTTAGTATTCAAAATAGTTTGATTCTATTTCGTCCATAAGAAAAAGAAACATGTCTATGATTTCGACGCTTAATCTTATTCAACAATATCTTACTATTGTATTGGGAGTTCTTCTTGTTGTTGGTATCATTGGAAATACTCTCAACTGTCTTGTATTTTTTCGAAAACGGTTACGTTCAAGTCCATGTTCAATTTTCTTTGCTGCTGCTTCAATTGCTAATATGACCGTTATGATTTATTATATTATTCCAACCATTCATTCAGTTTATAATTCACCACCAGAAAATGAAAATCTTGTTTATTGTAAACTTCGTTTATATATTCGAAATGCTTTATTAGTTATTTCACGATCTTATTTAACATTAGCTTGTGTTGCATGTTATGCTCAAACATCAAGAAATGTTCGAATACGTGCAATATTTCGACCAAAAGTTCTTTTACGAATTGTTATCATTATTCCTATAATTTGGTTTATTATACCATTACATATTCCTTTAACAACAACTATTCAAAATGGAAAATGTAATATGTGGGCAGGTGCTGCAGCTCTTTATCATTCAATTTATATTTGTTTTGTTGCTGCTATACTTCCAACTAGTTTAAGGGCTATATTTAGTTTTATGTCTTATAAAAATTTGCAACGAATGACACGTAATGTGCATCCTCACAATGGTACAGAACATAATGCTGAAGAACCATATAATCAACATTCAGAAAAAATGCGTCTTCAACAACGTGATCGACAATTAAGCATGATGTTGTTTGTACAAATTATTGCCTATATGAGCTTTACTATATGTTATCCTTTTTATACAATATATAATGCAATCACTTTGATTATTGGAGGAACAAAATCACCAGAAAAAGCAGCTATTGATAATTTTCTTTTATTTATTACTTCTGCTTTTCTTCTGAATTTTTATAGTGCAGCTTCATTTTTTGTTTTTCTTACATCAAGTGCATTTCGAAAAGAACTACGACAAATTTTTGCGTTTATTATACCTCAATGTGGTGTTAATGGAAATTGATAAAAAATGACACATTAAACAATTCTTACTTGACTTGTAGCAATTATGTACAAACAAAAATCGAACTTAATGATTGTTGTCTTGACGTTGTCGTTGCTTTGATCACATGAAGAAAACAAATAAGCATGCAAAAAAGAAATAACTATCACAATGATTGTTGTTTTGTTGTAAGAATTCATTTGAAATAAAAGGTTTTATCGATGTTCATCTGTTGTTATTCCTATTGATATCTTTCAGACACTATACATAGTTACGGAAGAAAAGAAAGCATAGAAGTAGATGAGTGTCTTGTTCAATGTGAAAATTGGTCAATCAGTAGAAAAGAATGTCCGTATTTTTGGAACATTCAAAAATAGATATAATAAGAGGGTCAGTGTGGTTCGGCCGATTTAAGAGTGAATATTACAACCTTCAAACTAATCTAATGTCGAATATTACGTCCTGTCCAGCATATTTTTTCACATGTACTGTGAACGAATGTATGTAGAGCAAGAAAGATCGAAGTTAGTTAAATAAAATAGAAACATTGACGGTCAATTGGGATAGTTTTTCTGAAATTATCATGTAATATGATGATAATGGAATAATGTATGATTGAAGCAAAGCGAGAATGTTTAGATGGTCTTTTGAATCTGAATATTTATCAAAAGAAAGTACATTATTTTGGTTATCAACATATCAAGGCATTCAATACAGCTGACAAGGATGATCCTGATCATGACCCTAAAAAATGTTAGATACTGTTATAGGTTATATTGATGATTTTTCCAGTACTTTTTCATTCACGTAATAAATCTTGCCTTGATTCTACTATGCGCACACTTTTTTCATAATCGACCAAAAAAGGTGTCCATAAGTAGAATGTAGCCGTTTTATTTCTCTGCCAAAAATGATCGATTTGCACTTGTACAGTGAACAACGAAAAATACCATCTTGTGTTTTGTTTGTTTTCTTCACACTGTGAAATGTGTTATTCAAGAAGTTAAGATGACGATGAATTCTCTGCTGTGATGAAATAGTTTAATTTTCACTGCATGTAAGCAGTTGATAAATATCACAATGCTGTTGGTTCTTTTCTATATTCGTCTCGTTACGCTTCGTCACCGATGATTCTCCTTTGGATATGCTCGCGC